ATCATGCTGGGTAGAGTGGAGGGACAGCGCAGGAGGGGAAGACCCTCTATGAGGTGGATTGATTCAGTGACTGGGGTAATCGGGATGGGTGTGTCAGAGGCAATGAGATTAGCACAGGATAGAGCAGGGTTTAGGGCGATTGTACATAGGGTCGCTATGAGTCGCAAACGGCTCGACAGCACATAACAACAACAACATATGCATGTTATATAGGCATGCCAACTGAAGATGAATTGATGCCTTTGAATTGTACTGGCAAAGAATAACAACCAAATGAACAATCTATCTTGGATAAAATATAGCCAAAGTGCTTTATAGAAGCAAAAAAATGTGAGACTTCCTCATATACTTTGGGCATCTTCTTAGGAGGGGTCAGTCCCTAGAGAAGAACATTCTGTTTGGAAAAATAGGTAATGAAAGGACGACTCTCAATGAGATATTGTTGAAGTGACTGTGCAATTCATCTTTCAATATGGCTTTCCGAGCCATTAAACTTGACTCTGCCATGTGGATAGACAGAAATATACGAATAGAGTGTGATAGCCGATCCACAAGGGGATTGGCTATCTCACCATTCCACAAGGGGATTGACCAGTCTCACCACTCCACAAGGGGTTTGGCTACTCTTGCCAAAAAATTGAGTTGCTCCAGCACCAGATTAAACTTTCCCCACCAGTAAAGAAGAGAAAAAGCAGAAGAAATAAGAGAATGACTTCCAGACTAGACATTCTTGCTCCAGGTACACCTACAGTAGCAGCGAGCGATAGTCAGTACAGAGGACCAGAATAACCTGACATGAGATGGATCTGGCTGCTAACTGCCCCTCCCCCCAGAACCAAAGCTAAGAGCCTTTGCCTAAGTGTGTTGGACAATTTGAGGGGTTGGAGATAGCCAATATTGGCAAGACAGAGAACTTTATAACACTGGTCTAAAGCCATGAGGCTCAAGGCTCTGGTGCCTGCATGCACATTTTGGAAGCTGTCCTGACTGTATTCTTCTACTAATCTAGATAAAAATCTTTTTACTTTCCCAACATGGCTCTATTTTATTTTATCTGGGAGCGCCAGACTGTGGAGGCCCCTGACTGGTTCCCTGTAGCTGAAGAAGATGGTGAGGTCAGGAATGTTCCAAATTTGTCTCCTTCCCCGGTCCCCAGACAACATCAGGCTAGAGACTAAGGTATGCCTGATCTGGGCTATAGTCTTCGCAATTGCGTACTATGCATCAGAGAGCTGGACAGTGAGTAGGGATGATAGAAAGAGAAGTGGTGTCTTTGAGCTGTGGTGCTGGAGAAGAGTGTTGATTATACCATGGATTATACCATGCTAGGAGAACAAACAGGTTTGTCCTGGAGAGGGTGAAGCCAGGTTGCTCTTTGGAGTCAAGGATTCTGAAGCTTTGTCTGATATACTTTGGGCATGTTGCAAGGAGGGACTGGTCCTTGGAGAGGGACATCATGTTTGGGAGAGTGGAGGGACAGCACTGGAGAGGAAGTTCCTTGATGAGATGGATCAATTCAGTGATTGGGGTGGTGGGAGTAAGTGTGTCGGAGACATTGGCACAGGATAGAGCAGGATTTAGGGCTCTTGTAGATAGGGTCACTATGAGTCTTAAGCGACTCTATGACACATAACACCACCAACATTGTTCTGTGTGGTCTGTGAGCTATCACATCAGATCTGGGCTACAGTAAAGCAGAAGGATTGGCACTGAGATGAGCAGAAAGAGTTGTCAATTCCCTGACCTCATGGGAATTGGTTTTGTGTGTTGATGCCGTTGAGAGGAACAGTTCCCCCATTGTGAAATCAGTGAAGGTCAGGCATGGCAGTCCTCACATGGTCCTTGCTCTTTTTAGGGACTCCAACAATGGGGTTTTTAGTGTAGCGTATGTTGTGAAGATGGCACAGGATTGGACAGTTTCACTCTGTTGTACATGGGATCACTGTAGGTCAGAGATGATTTGATAACATTTAACAACTTTTTCTTTGACAGGTCATGGCTGAGACTTGGAATGAAGTGAAAAAAGCACTGTTAATGTAGGGATTGTAATTGATGTCAGAAAACATTGAAAGAAAAGTAAAAAACAGCTTGGAATCTGAAGCCAAATAACTATTAGCAATGTGACTTTGGAAAGTTATTTTTCTTCTTTAATTCTGCTTCTTCAGGCACTAAAATAGACCCTTTCTTATGGAATAGAAACCTCTGGTGGCGTAGTGAGTAAGGAGTCATTCTGTGTTTCAAATACACCAGTTATTCTGTGGGAGAAAAATGGGAAGTCTCCTGCCGAGCAATTACAGCTTCTGAAAATCCCCAGGAGGTTCAGCTATGAGTCTGTTCCAGCTAGGTGGTAATGAGTTTTGTTATGTTGGTTTTTAAAAATAGAATTGTTATTGAGAAGCAAGGGTCTTGGAACTTTAGTTGGTGATTGTCATGGATTGAATTGTGCTTCCCCAAAGTACACGCATATGACAGATTGTGGAAGCTATGCTATGATCCCTCATGGGATCTATTAAATGAAATAGCTGTAGGAGGATTAAGGGTGGAATGCAAAATTTCTTAATTTCATCATAACTCTAATGAGTAAGGGGAGTTTCCCCTATGATATGATCTGTAAAACAGTAGGCTACTAGAGCTCCCTAGTGATAAAAGACTAGGAATTGAGTCAAGGAAGGGAGGTACCTTTGTGACTGCAATTTTCTGCACCTGGGCACCTGTGCTAAGAAACTCCTTCCAGGGAACACCAAAACACTTGGAGGCCTCTGGGGAAAAATGGGCCTGCAGATACTGAAGGAAACAAAGAACTTCCTTCACAACTGACGGAGAGATAGAGGACCTTCCTTTAGAACTGTTATCAGGAACTTGGACTTCTAACCGGCTAAACTGTAAAACAGAAGAAGAATCAATGCCTTTGAACCGTGGTGTCGGTGAAAAGTGGTGAATACAACATGGACTGCCAAAAGAGCAAACAAATCTGTCTTGGAGGAAGTGCAATCAATGTGCTCCTTGATACTTTGAGCATGTTGTTAAGAGGGGCCAGTCCTTGGGAAAAGATAGAATTCTAGGAAAGGTATAACATTAATAATGAAGGAGAGGAAGACCCTCAAAAAGATGGATTGATACAGTGACTATAACAATAGGCTTAAACAAGGTGGAGATCTTGAGGATAGTGAATAAGTTCAGATCTCTCGTTCATCAAGTTGCTATGAGTCTTAGTGGAATCAATGGCACTTAACAACAAACTGTAAGACAAATTTCCTGTGTTGAAGCCATCCACTTGTGGTACCTCTATTAGACATAGTAGCATTAGGTTAGACAACTAAGATCATAACTATTATTAAAATATAATACTTGTGTTAACATGTTCAAATTTTTATCTCCCTAAAATTTAGAAATATTCCAAATATGTTGCAAGGTTTTATTTTTAATAATGAGTATTCCCTGCACATCCATGTTTATTGCTGTGGTGTTCACAATTAGCAAAGAGATGGAAGCAACCCAAGTGCCCATCAACAAATGAATGGATAGAGCAGCTGTGGTATATTCACACAATGGAATACTACACAGCACTGACAAACAAGTAACTCATAAAATATACAAAATGGGTGACTCTGGAGGACATTATGCTGAGTGAAATATCTCAGTCACAAAAGGACAAATAATGCATAATACCACTGTTATAAAATAGGACCGACTTGGGGGTTGGGGGAAACTAAGAAAAAATAAGATAAATAATGAACACTGCATTGAAATAGATGAGAGAAAGAACTGTCTAAAAGAAATATATGATTGGGTATTATTTGCATGACAACAGTCCAGAATGAGAAGTGCATAACAAGGTGGAGGGAGGAAATTATGGAACAATGAAAGAAACTTTTTAAAGAGAAAAGCGAACTGGGGGTGGGTAGGGACGAAAATGTGCAACAATCAATGAATGGAAACCCAAGTTTTCTGTAAGCTTCCATTAAAATATCAATTAAAAATAAAAATATATAAATAAAAATAATGAGTACTCCTATTATTCAGCTCTGGTGGCCTAGTGGCGAGAAACTGCTCTGCAATTCCAAAGGCAAGCAGCTCTAGGCCAGCAGCTGCTCCGCGGAACACGGGTGAGTAACCTCCGCGTGATTAAGTGCCTCTGCAACAACTCCCATTATTCAGATAAACAATTGAAATATCCATACCGGGAATACCTAAAATAGACCGGTTTTAATTACTAAAGAACAAATAAGTCTGTCTTGGAGGAAATGCCACCAGCGTGCCTCTTAGAGAGGCAAGCGAATTTGAAACTTCCTCTCACATACTTTGGGCATGTTGTCCAGAGGTGGAGGGAGGGTCAGAGAAAAAGAGGGAGATCCTCAATAAAATGGATTGACATGACAACTCTAACAGTAGGCTGGAGCATGTTGATCGTGAAGATGGTGCATGAAAGGGCAAGATTCAAATCTGTTGTTCACAGAGTCTATAGTCAACTGGTAGGCACACAATATCTGTAGCAACAATTAACCAAATCTGGCCCTGACAGCTCTAATCTTCCAAACTGTCTGACTATTTAGCATTTCCTGCTCAAAGGTAGGCTAGGGATGTTTTCTAGAACGTGAGCTTTGAGATGGAACGGAGCGTCCAGAAGTTGGCTTCGTGGGGCCAGGCACTCGCTTGGAGCCTGGCCAGCTCCAGACAGCCCTTCCCGCCCCTCGGTAGTTGCCACCTGCCGGACACTCATTCGCCTGCAGCGTCGCAGGCTCGCACGTGAAAGCCTTGCCGGCGCGAGCACTGCCGGGCCTCGGGGCAGCCTGGCGGCCGGCGCGCGGAGGCACGTGCCTGCCAGGGGGCGCCCGGGGCCGGGCGGTGCGGCGTGACGTCAGGAGGGCGTGTCAGCGCCCTGGCGAGCGGTTTGAGGGAAAGTGTGCCGGGGGCCGGGCGGGGGCGTCACGGGGCGGCGCGGCGAGCGCGCGGGGAGGTGAGCACCGCGGCCGGCAGCGAGCGCAGAGCAGTTGCTTCCTCGGCGACTCCCGGCGTGGCTCATCATGTCTCTGAGAAGCAGCCTCTCGCGTTTCCTCTCGACTCAAGTGCATCTGGTCCGGAAGAAGTCAGTCCACTCCGTGGCTGTAATAGGAGCCCCGATTGCACAGGGTCAGGTGAGAAGTGGGCCTTGGCACCGGGAGACGCGATCCTACCCCTCGGACTCGGCGGAGAGCGGGCAGAGACAGTGTGGGAGTGAGGAGGAGATGGGTGAAATGGGGAAGGGAATGCCAGTGGTCTCCCGCGATTGGACATCCTGAGAGCACGTGGGGCGAGCCCCGAAAGAAAATAGCAGAGGGTGGAGGGGCACCTTGTGTGGGATGCGGCCCGGGATGGGGGGGGGTGCTCTGCGCAAAGAGCGAGAGCGCGATGGGTCCCGCTTTGTGATGGAGGGCAGGGCAGGAGCGGGAGAACCCGACCTGAATCTCGGGAGGAGCGGTCCACCGGAGCGAGCGAGGATTTCAGGCTTCATTTTCCTCGTGAGAATTAACTGCGGGAAATTGGCGCTAGCCGCTCCCGAGGTGGCGGGGCTGTTTTGTTCTCTGTTCAATGAAAGAAACATGTCTTCGTGGAGGACTCACTAGTCACGAAGCCCAAACTCTCGGCTCCTGCTCTAAATACCCACCAGATCTGGCCTGCGCTCAGCCCCTCAACCTTTGCTCATCCTTCCCACAGAGAGGGGCTTGGAAGGTTGATTTCGTTCCACTGATGGACTTACTTCCCCCCTCCTTCTCTGTGCCACTTTTTCTCTCTCAAGTGTTTGATAAAAGGATCATACCTTGGAGATGGAAGTAATAGATCCAAGACTCTTGCTATCACAGGTTTACAAAAGGATTAAAAAAAAAAAAAGAATCGATTAAGGGGAAGAAATAAATTGAGATTTTGGCATTTTTGTGAACTAAAATGATCTCGCAACCCCCATCTCTTCTCATATCTAACTTTGTGTAATTTGTGTAACAGAAGAGAAAAGGAGTGGAGTATGGTCCAGCTGCCGTCAGAGAAGCTGGCTTGATGAAAAGACTTGCCAGTTTGGGTAAGTAGTGGAATACTAAATGCCTCTGCAGGGTTCACACACCAGTTCAGAGTCTTTATCTTTTATATCCAAGAACATCTCCAGGTCTCCCACCCTCCCATCAGTTCTGTCAACAGCTGAAGATCTGTCAGGGAATCTTCAGGGAAAGTCTTGTGGATAAAGAAATAAGCGTGTGGAAGGCAATCAAGGAGAGTGAGCAAGACTTTGGACAAGCTGCTAGTGACTGGAAAGTGGCGCAAAGAATGCCAGGTCTGGCTTTTCTTGCGCAATCGTCTCCCTCCCTCAACATTCTAAGGTTTTCGATTCAGTCATGAAATGCTTTTGATTCACCCCTCTCTCACCAGTTTCCTCTCTTCAGGTTAATTAGTTTCCTCACTAGGGTTAATGTAAACAGGGTTTTTCAAATTTCCCTCAAGAAAATTACCTGGGTTATGTGTTAAAAATAAATTCCCAGGCTCCCCTCCATGGAAGAGATTGGGTGGGTCTGACCTAGCCATGTGCCATCTTTTCACATATTTTCCCCCCCCTGGAGTTATAAGAACAAAAAGTATGGCAGCAGGAATATGTAGCTCCTAGAGATAGTAATACAGAATCTACTTAAATGGCAAATCGTCTCATTCTTTTTCGGAAACCTTTTTATCTGATCATGAGTCTCTTTCAACGGCAGATCATCCTTTCCCCAGACACCAGAATGATGAGATCACTGATGTCACCTTAAATTGAGGTTTCCTTCGTTTGCTTCAACCTACCTGTGGTGGCTTGAGTAGTCAAGGCTTTTCTCTGTATTAAATCATTATAATTCTTTCTTCAAAGTGTTCTCTTAATTATTTTAATAAGTTGAAAAGTAAATTGCTAAGTCTTTTAATGTGTCACAAGTCAGTAATAATTTTTATTCCCACTGTCCCTTGAAATCAGCTTGTATACATACATCCTATCTTTTTTAAGACTCATTTTACTCTGAAGACAGCATCTCTGCTAATTACTGTTTTTTATCTATTGGATATTTTTAATAATATTTTATTAAGATACTGGGTGACTTGCTAGACCATGTCTAGATTCTGCACTTCTGACAAGAAGCAATGTCAGCCTTTCATACAGGGGACTTTTCTGATATTCAGCTGAGGTTGCTGATGGGCACATTTGTAGCAGCTTCTCTTGCGTGTAGCATCAGATTACCCAAAAAGCAAAGTAAGCACTGGTTTCCTTGTGCCTCCTTACTAAGGTGTGGGGAAGAGTTTCACATTTTTCCACATCACGGATGCTGCTCTAAGCATGATTGGCATCTGCCCCTCAAACCCACAGCACCTTCCTGTGAAATCAAAGCCTCTTTTTAGAATTTCTAATCCCTGCTAGGGACAACAGAATATCCAGTAAACACTACTCAGTTTGTTTAGTAATATGTGGTGAACACTTTCTAGAGATTAGTAAATAAAGGCGAGTTAGCCCATGCCTACCTTGCTTGTTGAGTAATCTGTCCTACTTCCTTTCCTGTCATATAGCTCATGGTATTTTTCCACTCTAGTTTGGGGGAAGATGTTCTCTTTTAATTACTAGCCTCTTTACTACTTTAAATTTATGGTCTGACCTGGTGAAGTCTCTGAACTTTCTTCCCCCCTCCCAACGTACTGCCTTATAAATTGGCAGTCTGTTAACACCAGCAGTCTGAAATAGAATCTCCTTGCTCAGTAATAAGATTGTGGCACTCAGTAGATTTCCAGAATTAGTTTTGGCTCATCTCTGGGGATATGTTGGAGGAAAGTAGCAAGAGAAGTTTCATCAGTTCTTATACCAGCATAGCATAACTGAAGTGCTTCTCATTTTCTGAGAAGACTCATAGAAAAGTGATTTTGACAAAACTCTTTGTTCCTCACCCTCTTCTGTGATGTCATAAGCTGCCAGTGTTGCCATGGCATTAAACTTCCTTTTTTTCAATGAATGTATTTGGCCTAGGGTGTGATCTTCTTTGCTCCTTTCCTGGACTTGGTAAGGACACTAGTTTCACTGTCATGTAACCACTTAACTTTAGGATATAGAGACATGAAGAGGATTGCCCTGGTATGGCTCAGTAGCAGTGTAGCTGTTTCTGATAGTGGTAATTTGTTTGCCCTTTTCTCTTCAGAAATAGAATGAATCTTCCCTGGGTAAAGATAGCTCTACGCTGAGATTGACACTTTGAGTTCTCTATCTCATAATTAGAGTAACTTGACCCAGCTGTGGTACTGAAAAGAAGTGAAGCCACCAGGACAGCTGTCTAAATGAACTTGTCTCTTTGCCATGCCTGCTGTCCTGGAATTCAGAAAGCTAGCTTGAACTATTCTATTTCTCTTTAACTAGGCTGCACTTGTATTTTATTGAGTTAATTCTGACCCACAACTACCCTGTAACACAGAGTAGTACTTCCCTAGGGGGTATCCTAAACTGTGTTGTCTTTATGGAGGCAAACTGCCTATCTTATCTCCTCCAAAGCTTCTGGTAGATTTAACCTGCTGACCTTTGAGTCAGCAACCAAGTTCTTAATCATTGCACCACCAGTGATCCAAATGTTCATTGAGGGGAAAATGCCATGGGAACACTGGCAGCCTTTGACATCAGCGCAAAAAGAGCAAAGGAATTTGTGAAGGGGATGTGGGGGTTTTTTCCTTTGCTTTTTTCAGTATTTTCACTGTGTTTTAAGTAAATGTTTACATGGAAAATTAGCTTCTAACTTAGTGATCATGTACAGATTGTTCCATGAAATTTGGTGCTATCGCTGCAATGTGTTACCACTTTCCCCGTATCTGTCCTATCTTCACCATTTTCATTCTGCCAGTTTCCCTGATCCTCTTTCTTTGTGTTTTCATCTTTGCTTTGGGCAAATGTTGCCTGTTGTCTCATCTAATTGCTAAAGAACATGTTATTGTTTATTTATAAGCCAATCTAATGTTTGTTTGGTTAGGTGACCTCTGGAAATGGCTTTAGATTAAAAAGGTATTTGAAGGTGTCTCAGAAGTTCCGTCAGTCTCTATCATCTAGTAAGCCTAGGGTTTGTGTTTGTGGTGTGGTTTTGTTGTTGTTGTGTTTGGGGTTTTTTTTTTTATGAATTTGAGTTTTCTCTATTTTTCTTTCATGTTAACCAGGGCCTTCTGATGTGTTCCTGGTCAGAGCTGTTGGTAGTAGTAGCCAGGCACTGTCTATGTTTTTTGGTTTCAGGCTGTAGGAGACTGGTTAATGTGAGTCATCAATCTTATGGGTTGATCCTTGAATCTTAGGTTTACTTCACTGTCCCTTTTTCCAAATAGAAAGAGACCAGTAGTTTTATCTTTGATGACTGCTTACAAGCTTTTAAGACCGCGGATGCTAGTTACTAAACCAGAACATAGAACATTGTCTTTATGGACTGTGTTGTGCCAGTCAATGTACAGGGACATTTATTCTTCCAGATCAGTTTAGTGTTCTATCAGATACTAGAAAAGGAATCTCTTTGACATCTCTTGTGATCTAAGAATCTGGTCTGCTTTAGGAACAACTTGTAGTTGATAATCTGAAATAGTTACATAAACTTGAGATATGAGAGTTGTGCACTTGGAACAGATCACTATAGATTCAGGGGTCTGTATTTGATTTGGATTATTAACAGTCCTGAGGTTAGTTGGATGGTGGTTCAGTCTGGCTTCCATTCCAACATACCACTGAAATTGTTTCAAGCAAGCTCACTGATTTGCCTGCCATTGTTTTGCTGAGTCTCTCTCATACCACATTCTGTGGGGTACTTTTCTTGGGCATGGGAACAAATAATAGATCTCTTGGGTGTATTGGTATGGAAATGATTGAACAATATCATTAATATCACATATAAACGAAATGCTGAAAATCACCCAAAAATGGCAGGAACATTTCACTGACAGAGAACTGCCAGAGGTTCAGCTGGGTTTAGAAGAGGCCATGGGACTAGGGAGATCATTGGTGATGTATCTTTGCTGAAAGCAGAGAATACTAGAAGTTTTATTTGTCTTTTATTGGCTGTGCAAAGGCATTTGACTCTGTGAATCATAATAAAATGTGGCTAACATTGAGAAGAATGGTAATTCTCAGTAAAATCAAGGGAACACTGCATGGTTTAAATCAAGAAAGGTATGCATCAGGACTGAATCCTTTTTCCATACCTATTCTATTTGTATACTGAATAAATCATTCAAAAGGCTGGACTTTATGAAGAGGAACATGGCATCAGGATCAGAAGAAGACTCAACAATCTGAGTTACGCAGGTGGCACAGCTTTGCTTGCTGAAAGTGAACAGGACTTAAGACACTTGCTACAGAAGATCAATTTGGATTTCATATGGATTATAGCTCTACATTAAGAAGCCAAATCCTCACTTCTGGGCCAACAGGCAGCATAATTATGATAGATAAAAGATTGAAATTGTTAGTGAATTACTTGGATCTACAATCACCTGGCACTAGCAGTCAAGAAATAAAAAGACATGTTGCATTGGTGGTGAGGTTGTCCTTAACGTAGGTTCTTAATGAGTCTTCTTCCACCATATGCCACATTCTTTTCCATTTAGTCTAGCTTTTCTGTTTACTTCTCAAATTACGAATACAGGACAAAGGCAAATTGTACTGGAATGAAGGAAACATCATCATATTGTCATAGGTGTTCCAATGAATCATGGCCATGACCTTTGTTTATGTGATTTAGAGACAAAACCATCACCAGGTCATAAATGGTGGTAATTACAGTTCATCACTATTGCTGGCTGGACTGCAAAATCAGGCAAAAGACCTTGATTTAGATAAATACACAATTGCAGCTTAACACCGCGATGGCTCATGATCATGCAGGCTAAGTTCCCTGGGTCTTTACACTTCTATTTTAATGTTGACCTTCCTCTACAATTCCATGCCTGTTTCTCCAGGTTTCTTTGAAACCTTACCTCACTCTTACCAACGTCTCATACTCAGCATGTGCCCAACAAAATCATCAGTGTCTCGCTCTACCCTGCTTCTCCTGTGCACCA